CGAGTCGAGTTCGGAAAAGGTTCCTAATCCACTGGGTATCATAGCCAAACGGACGGACTATAGTTCTTAGTGAAACCCGCTAAATTAGCATCTCGACACAGTTATTATTTCTATGTTTAGGACTACGCTCATTTTGTAAAGGTTTGACAAAATTAGTGTAAAGTAAAGGCATCCCACTGACATAACATAACCCTAAATTTGATTCTGTTCGACATTACAAAAACTACTATTAGCCTAGTGTAAATATACAGGGTGATTTTTAAATGAGTTCCCCCCCAACTTTTTTCTACATTTCTTAAGATATCAACTCCGGACCACGTCAGATCATTGTAGAGTAGTAAGTACTTCATTTTTACTGGGTATAAATTTTTAGCCGCCATCTTGGATCCGCCATATTGGATACAAAGTTTTTTTTCAAATGTAAAGGTAGGGTTGTGACCCACCATTTCAAACAAGACTTTTACGCTGAATACGGTGCTGCAATCCGTTAAAAAAAATGTTGATCCGTTCTAAAGTTATAAGGACTTTTAATAACTTGATTTTTAGCCCATTTTAACATTGTGCATTTACAAACTAAGACATTAATCTCAAAATAGTGCTAGATAAAGATAAGTATACACCACCATTCATTGTCGACCTATTTTCACTTGGTTATGACGGATGTATTTTTTTCGGCCGCCATTTTGGATCCGCTATTTTGAAATGTGACAAATTATTTTTAATATGAAGGTGGTGTTGTGACCCATCATTTTGAACTACTTTTTTATGCTGAACTCAATGCCGCAATCAGTTTTTCATTTGCAAGTTTAGTTGTTGAATTATTGAAATTTTAAATAAGATCATTTTAATATTTCATCAAGAAAGCTTGATAACCAAAAACGGATTGCGGCATTGAGTTCAGCATAAAAAAAGTAGTTGAAAATGATGGGTCACAACACCACCTTCATATTTAAATTAATTTGTCTCATTTCAAAATGGCGAATCCAAGATGGCGGCCGAGAAAAATACATCCGTCATAACCAAGTGAAAATAGGTCGACAATGAATGGTGGTGTATACTTATCTTTATCTAGCACTATTTTTAGATTATGGTCTTAGTTTGTAAATGCACAATGTTAAAATGCGCTAAAAATAAAGTTATAAAAAGTCCTTATGACTTTAGAACGGATCAAGATTTTTAAAAACTATTTGCGGCATTGTAATCAGCGTAAAATTCTAGTTTGGATTAATGGGTCACAACCCTACCTTTACATTTGAAAAAAAAACTTTGTATCCAATATGGCGGATCCAAGATGGCGGCCAAAAATTTATACCCAGTCAAAATGTAGTACTTACTACTTTACAATGATCTGACGTGGTCCGGAGTTGATATCTTAAGAAATGTAGAAAAAAGTAGGGGGGAACTCATTTAAAACTCACCCTGTATGTGGTGGTAATCCTCCTAAGGTGCAATTGCCTTACATATTCTATAAGGAAAATGCCTAATCAAATTCTGATTACTAACTATTTTGCGACTGGTTAGGGTTCATTAGACCCTAATATAAGACTCTATAGTTGATGATTTATTTAGAAAGTATATGCCGTTGAAAAGTTTTTATTCTTTGAATTTCTTCTCTAAAGCTACTCATTTAGGAGTTACAGTGTGTTAAAACCAAGAAAAAATTACGTGCCGTGTAGGGGCCTACATTCAACGCCATGTATCTCTTTAATGAGTAAGTTTAGAGATAAAATGCTAAGGGTAAAAAAGTCTGAAAATTTCATATACAGTCTAAAAAGACCTTAAATTAAAAAACATAAAAGATAATGATCCCATGGCACAAAATTTTAAAATAAGAAAACTAGGTATTTTATGGCCTTTTTAGAAAGTGGAAGCAATTTTAAGACTTATTTACTCTTAGCATAAAATATAGGGTCTTCCATAATATAAATCAAAGTTGGGGGCTATATTGGAAAAATGGTTGCTAAATTGTTTTTTTTTTAACTTTTTCTAAAACTGTTTGAATAAAAAATCTAAGACCTCTTTCACACGGTCATGCGGCGTTGGGCTATTGGAGTTTTTATACTGTATAGGTTTTTTTCACGCGATGTCCGTCGCGTGCCTGCGGCCTGACTGACGGGGGATTCGCCGAACCGCACGCGAGTTGCCACCGGATGCACCTACGCCTTCAAGAAGTCTACGCCGGACGACTCGTTGAACGGCTAGTTCGGCTGCGTCCCGAAAGCCACGAATGTTTATGGCTAAAGCTGGGGGACGAAAACCACAACAATTAGTAAAGGGTCGAAAAGGTTTTAATCCTGGGGACGTAAGCCACGTCTGCGAGCCAGGTAGACAGCTGTCAGGGTGGCAGCTCACAGGGAGAACGGGCAATTTTAGCTCCCTGTTTTATTTATGCGTCTCAAGCAAATTCGTAAGTCCAATCTGAATCCGCAGTGATATAAAGGTTAGAAATATACTTTTGAGATCTACTACTGTTTGTTATTTTATTCTACTGTCTGGTTATCGTTAGTGTACTGTAGTTGTTCATCTCAATAATTAATTTCAAGCAAATAATAACTCTAGATAAGCTATTACCGCCGATACTACGGTGAAACCTAAGCCCTGTCTTCACAGGCCAATGATGTATTAAATATATTAATATTTGTTCAACAAAATTTGTTATTAATGTGTGACGGACGATTACTAAAGTACTGAAGTTCAAGTTAGGGAGAATTAACCATCAAGGGCTTCGGACTGCTCACTCAAAAAATATCTTAAAATCATGTTTGTAGCTATAATTCTATTTCCCATAACTTAGGTTTACACGTTTAAACCTATTTTTTAATAGTACAATCAGTTCCACCATAACTTAATTGAAAAGATATATACAAATTTAAGTTACATATTCACCTTGCATGATGTGTTATTGTGATACTCATAACCCTCAGAGGCCCTAAACAGTTGCAGGCTCTCCTCAAATTTCATCTATGGCGACACAATGCCCGCCCGCATCTTAGACCTTCCGGGACTCAAATCTTAGACCTTCCGGGACTCGAATCTTAGACCTTCTGGGAATCGAATCTTAGACCTTCCGGGACTCAAATCTTAGACCTTCCGGGACTCGAATCTTAGACCTTCTGGGAATCGAATCTTAGACCTTCCGGAACTCAAATCTTAGACCTTCCGGGACTCGAATCTTAGACCTTCCGGGATTTGAATCTTAGACCTTACGGGACTCGAATCTTAGACCTTCCGGGACTCAAATCTTAGACCTTCTGGGACTCGAATCTTAGACTTCCGGGAATCGAATCTTAGACCTTCCGGGACTCAAATCTTAGACCTTCCAGGACTCGAATCTTAGACCTTCCGGGAATTAGACCTTCAGCAACTCTCATTTTATAAACATTTATTCAAAAAAGTTACATTGTGTGTCCAAGGTCTAATCCCGCAAGGTCTAAAACAGTATCAGTGGATGAGTTTTTTTGCATTGACTGTACTCTTAGACCTTCCGGGACTTAGACCTTCGACATACTACCAGATTAGACCCTCAGCAACAAGTACAAACTGCCAAATGTGTGTCGAAGGTCTAATTAGACCTTCCGGGAATTAGACCTTCAGCAACTGATCCGTTAAGCTACTGATATGTTCATTTATAGGTTTTATGAAAGCGAGCTTAGGGGAACAATATAAGCTTTAGAAAAAAGAAAAAAAATATTGGCAGAATACAATACTATGCACAGCAACACCAAACAATACACAAGATCTTATCATCTTCTAGGTGTACAATGCAGTTGTCTGCTTGCAATATTGAGTGGAGCTAGCATATTAATCCTATACTTTTCTAAAATCAGTGCTACACCTGTTTCTCTTAAATAAGATATATTCTTGCAGTATCCAAAGTCAATATTATATTTAGTTCCCATAAATGGAATGTCTATTTGCAGTTTCGAAAGTCAATTACAAGTCTGGTTCACATAAATGAATTGTCTACTCGCAGGAACCAAAATCTATGTTTCATCTAGTCCTCATAAATTAAATGTATCTACTCGCAGCATCCATTGTCAATAATGTATTAGGTTCACATTTAAGTAGAATGCCTATTTGCAGTATCCAAAGTCAATGGTACATCGGGTTCACATAAACAATTGATTACTTGCAATATCCTAAAATCTATTGTATACCTGATTCACATAAATGAGAAGTCTATTTGAAGTATCCAAAGTCAATGGTAGGCTTACTTCTGGTTCACTTAAATGGACTGCCTATTTGCATTAACTTATTCAAAGTTAATGATACGTCTGGTTCACGTAAACAAATTATTTACTTATCTAAAGTAAATAGTACATCAGCCTAATTCCGGCAACCCAATTCTTTGGATATTCATTTTTTAGTAAATTATGCTCAATGATATTAATTCAATTGTACTTCTCTTTTTCTTTGTACGGTATTTGTAATGTGCTATTTTAGATGATTTGTTGACCAACCAACCTTGGAATTTGGCTCAATTATCTGGTTGCCATATCAGCTTGACCATATTGTCATGAAAAATAAAGTACAGTTACTCTTCATCCAATTCTTAGGTGTCCGCCTGGGGTATAACTATCGTCCCCACACAAATGTCTAAGCTCCAGGTGTGGTTCAACATCCAACCTCTCTATCTCAGAAGAAAGCTGCTCGATCTGATTTTCCTGTTCAAGCTGGTTCATGGTGAGGGTGAGATCGATTCTGCCAGCCTACTGGAGGAAATTAATTTCCTTATACCAAGAGGAACACAATCTTGGGATACCTTCGCTCGAACTCGTACTTACCAACTAACTACTCCCTCAATTGTGGATTGACCAGATTGTAGCAACTTAGAAACAAAGTCAGATCAACTAAGAGTTGTCATCCTTCAGAATGACCTTATCTTTGTTATGGCTGTATTATAGCTTAATAAATAAAAATAAACTGTTAGGATGTAGTCAAAAAGTCCTTATAGATCTACCAAATAAGAACTAATTGTGATCAATATATTTACTGTGTAGATCTTCAAGAGACAAAGGAGAAATTAAAGAAGGAGTTGGAAGAAGCAAGAACGGCACTATCCGGGTGTTGTGGAAATATTGACACATTAACAGAAGAGTATGACAGGCTAAAAAAAGAGGCGGTAAGATAAAATTAACAAATCTAGCCTAAGTACAGAAAATGCCCTAGATTGTGTTAATGCAATTTTCGTGAAACACACACCTGACAAGCAATGGTAAATAAAAAATAAAAATAATACCTTTGTTTGATACTCTTTGCTACACTCCCAGAATTGCTTATTTCTTCTCTGACAGTTGTATTTGGAATGATTTATTTAACACTAGCAGAGAACCCGTCCTTCGTACGGGATTGACATTATACTCAAGCTTTGCGTTTGCAATGGGGGAGGACACAATTAGATAAAAGTTGCTTCTTTAAATTGACGGTAAACTATAGTACTAGGCATGTATAGGCATGTACAACCAAAACAGTCTAACATAGCCATAATGTTCTACCACTTCACCTAAGCAATAGAAAAAAATAAATTAAGTTTCGCAAAATATCACAAATTATTCATGAAATTAAAACCATAAACATAACTGTAAACAATCCTACTTTGACAGTCCTTATTGTGTATCACAAATTTTTGGTACTAATTAGTTCAAATTAGCTATTTTCATAAATTAAAAAAATAATAGTGCTGCACCCTGTTGGTAAATTTTATAACTTTTAATGCTTTTGCGTATCATAGAACCAACTTATTAGTTGAAACAGCTGACTAAATTCTTTAATTCCTTTTAAATATGAACGAGGTGTTAGCCCGTCCTACATACGGGAATTCAGTAGTAAGTTAAAACTGTGTACAATTCAGATCAGCTAGTTTACACAAATAAAGGCAAAGTTTCTTACAGTTTTAATGTGAAAAATCATCTTGTAAACAAATGTTGTGTGACCAAATATGGTTTTATTCCATCATAGGCCTATACGATATGCATTTTAAATCCAATAATTTTACAATAAAACAGCAATCCTGCAATTTTTACGATGTGAAAAGCGTTGAAGTGAGATTTGCAGCCGATTCGTACAGACGCACACTGATTATAAGTAGCCTACAGTAGAGAGAGTAATAGTCAATTGGGAAGTGTATAGACCTATTCAACGATACCACCTTCCATAGCATACCTGCCTCTTCCATAATTATTACCACCAAAATACAACTACTATACACAATTTCCAGTAGGTCTGAATAGAAACGACCTAAAATAAAACGATAATATCCAATAAAATTCACAGTACACATAATTTAACTTTGGTGTCCTAACATCAAAACTAATCGTCACACCTATCCTTTATATCAATTTCACTGCATTAATTGCTAAATAAACTAGGTGGCGTTCGCAGAGGCATCCACAAAATTGAGCGGAGCCATCAAGGGTTCATATTATAATGTTTTTGTCGTACTGCAGTAAAACCAGTCGTTTTTAATGCATGCGTTGCGGGTCTAAAGTAGCATTTTTACTCTTTTGGGAGTAATAATCGTTTTTAGCCTCTATGGAGTAAAAATCAGCTGTTGTAAATTTGTTGTAAATTTTGATTTCAAATGATTCCATGTATCGAAAATATGTATCGATTCGTGCTTCGTAATAATTTTAACCTACAGTCTACAGTCTCTTCCCATAGCATTTTAGCATTGCAGATACATTAATCCATTCCCACACTCAACACTGCTCACCTTTACTACTTCTTTCACCACCCCCTATGTCGTGGACCTGTTTTCCTCTCTTCCCATAGCATTTTATTTAGGATTGCAAATACATTAATGTAATTGCCAAAGACAGTTCCACACTCTCCACTGTTAGCCTTACTACTTCCCATTCACCATTTCCTACGTCATAGACCTGTTTCCTTCCCTTCTCATAGCATTTTAGGATTGAAGATAGATTAATCTAACTGCCACAGACAGTTCTCACACTATGCTCACATTGACTACTTCCTTCACCACTTCCTACGTCTCGGACCTATTTTCCTTTCTTCCCATAGCATTTTAGGATTGCAGATCCTTTAATCTAATCGTCATAAAAAGTTCCCATACTCCGAACTGCTCGCCTTTACTACTTCCTTCACCACTTCCTACGTCACGGACCTGCTTCCCTCCCTTTCAATAGCATTTAAGGATTGCAGATACCTTAATCTAATCGTCATAAACAGTTCCTACACTCCGGACAGTTCGCCTTGACTACTTCCTTCACCACTTCCTACGTCGGGGACCTGTTTTCCTCCCTTCCCATAGCATTTTAGGATTGCAGATACCTTAATCTAATCGTCACAAACAGTTCCCACAGTCCGGACTGCTTGCCTTTACTACTTCCTTCACCACTTTCTACGACACGGACCAGTTTCCCTCCCTTCCCATACCATCATAGGATTTGCAAATACCCTTATCTAATGGTCATAAACAGATCCCATCCCCCGAACAGCTCACCTTTACTACTTCCTTCACCACTTCCTACGTCACGGACCTCAAGCTAGTGTCGTCATTTGATTATATTTATGATCCATACCGTTTCTGTTCTAATATTTGTGTAATAATTCTATCAGCTTTTTCTTTATCTACTGCATTCAAAAGTCAACAGCTGATCATATGTCTTTGTTTATGTGTCAAATACTGCTTCCATAAGGATTACATTGAAACTTTGAGACCCAGTGGGGCGGATTCCTGAGAGTATCTTTTAACGCCATACAGATGTTGGCACTCAACAATATGGTCTTTATCACCATGCAAAATTTGAAAACGATCGATTCAGCCGTCTATGAGGAGTTTGCGTATTACGAAATGCATAAGAGTCGACGTATAAGAGCTTCGCTCGCTCCGCTCAATAAGTGTAAACAAAGAACCAACAGTAAAAACAATAACAGTTTGTTTTGAAACAGCTGTTTGGTTCAAATAACATTCATTTGAAAAAAAGAACTGGTCACACGTAGCAGGAATATAAAAAGTAAACACAGTAAAGCTAATGACGTAATTTTCAATGTCTATTATCCATACTGTTATCAGTTCTATCCTTGATAATTACCCACCCTCATTGAATAAACGTACATCGTAATTTCCCATATTAGTTATTTTAATTTACAATATATTCATAGTTGAAATAAAAGTGATATTTTCATAGGGGCGCTGATATAGGCGCCCCTAAACGTAACCACAACTGAACACGATTTCACGAAAGGATAGTTTGTCTAAATGCAGTATCCTAGGATAATGTTGACGTTGTGTTCAATCTATGTCATCTATCTGTTTATCTTTGTATAAAACCCGGCTGAGGTTGTGGTGGTAATTTAATACCCCCGCCGCAGCAAACCTGCAGACTTAGCGAATTTCCATTTGCCTGATTGGATTTACTCTAAAATGTCTCCTTAAAAATATCACATTTATTCCCTATTTAAACAGAATTAATTTAATGAGTACTTAGGTTTGCTGCAACAGTCCGATCATGCTGGTTTGCGAACTCATTCAAGTTTATCCCGCCTTACACCGTCAAACCAAATTTTATCAAAATCGAACAAAAATTACTCAAGTTATCGTGCGGATGGACACACATATATATATATATATATATATATATATATATATAGATATATAACAATTTGAACGAATGGTGTTTTTGGCCTCTAGGGCCATCAAAATGAAAAAGTAAATCGGTCCCGGGCCTAGGTCTTACCATGAGACCTACGGTAATAGCTACTTCCCTATAGGGAAATTCGCTAAAATCGTGATTCCTGATTATACTTGATCTTTTTATGACATCAACATTTCCGGGCCTAATCCAAACAAAGTTAAAGCAGACAAACATTAATTGTAAATAAAAAGCTACCATTAAGAATTAAGACATGTGAACATTGTTATTTTTCTAATCTTTCCTTGAAAAGTGGAGCAGTAAAATAATTTGCATTTATTAGACTCGTGTACAGAGCCTCGATTGGTACTGTGGTTTAATTAATTTTTGTTAAAACTGCGGTTTAAACTGAGGTCTAATTATCTCTACTAATCTTACTTATTTCCTATAATCAATGACAAAATAAGAGTAAATAAAATAACCTCATAGTTCCATAGTTTATATTTAACCAGCTGTTAGTTAAAACAAATTAACAAATTATATTGCTCTAAAACAAATCGAAGATTACAAAGATTGCTTTAAAAAATAATTTGAACATCCTAGTATTTTACTATGTATATTTAATTAATCTGTCATCCTTTTACAGAAGAATTGAACGTATCCATGATTAGCATTACACATAGTATAAATAGTCAACCCTAAGTATGTCTTTACATTTTTTTCCAAATGCTGAATTTGTGACACAAAAGCTGAATGTTTACAGCTGTTATGTTAAGCAAATTATTTTATGCCAAAAGCTAGTTTAGAATCTTAGCGTCGGCTGCTAGACTTTAAAAAAATTAAAACTTAATTTTTAAAAAACTTGGACCCTAAACTAAAATTATGGCTTCGACATTCCCTAGTTCTCAAAATTATCTTTCTTTCAACACAAAAATCATGAAAATCCGTCGAGTGGTTGATTCAGAATCGTGAAATAAAAAAAACACTGTTTTGTTTTAATATTATAGATACTCATAAGGTTAACATGGGGAACTAAAGAGCCACTGAGGCAAAGCCCAAAATGATTTTTGAGATAAGAATATGCCTATATGTTAATCGGGAATATGAGCTATCATTATGCCAAATTTCAGGCAAATCCGTCCAGTAGTTAATGCGTGATTGAACTTTAAACAAACAAACAAACAAACAAACACACAAACTTTCACATTTATAATATTAGTAAGATCTGTTATATTCATTGTTTTTTTCTAAATATACAATTACAGTCCACTTCAAGCTCTTTACTTATTTTTTATTACAAGTTATTTTATTTCTACGCAACATAGTTACCCAACAACCTCTATGTTTCAGGAAGCATTAAAAAACCTCGATAACATCAACTCTCGGAAAAAAGCTGATTTGGAGAATGAATTAACTCTACTGTTGAATATTAAATGCAACTCCCATGATGAAGACCTGGTGAAAAAAACCAAGTGAGTAACATTATTATGTAATGAAATAAATAAATTACATCTTTATTTAGCCAGTGTAGATCCAATACAAAGTTCTGTTTTACATGAAAACGTTTGTGAAATATATCTGGCACAACGTAAGGTATTTATTTAAATAATACTGGAATTAAAATGCTAACACTGGAAATTTCATTGGTGTTGTTGGAACTATATTAACTTATCATCTAACACCATACATCATAAGGGGCCATACCCCCATGTCCCACAAACCTACCATGTTCTACCATGTTGGTGGTTAGAAAGAGGACACTGATGTGCCCGCTGCGCATGCGCGAGCTCCATCCTCGGTTGAACAATGGCTTGACTTCTACATGTCAAGAAGGCAACATCTTGGCGGGACATTTAAAGTATTGTGGGGGTTGAGCTCCACAAAAGAAATTGGCTAAAAGAAAAGATCAACTAAAACTTGCATTGTTTGTTACAGGCTGGAATACAAGTATGTACGCAATATTTCACAAGTCCGATTTACATATGACAATTCTGATGAAGACGTACTGTCAGGTTGTATCCTTTTAAACACTGTGTCTGGTGGGTAAGTTAACATTTTCTATGACAACATAAATTAGTTTAAGTCCACTTAATGAAGTTAAAAAGTCAAAACTTTTATTGTTTTACATATTTTGTAATACAAATTAGGAACATAAAAAATAAGTACCGTATAAAAACATTTATTTGACCATTCTTTTTGTATGTTTTGGAAGGATTTAGAAATTCATGTTTTATCTCATCGGCTCGTTGATTTAAATGGAATTCTTCATCTAAAGATTTAGTTTTATTTTAAAACAAGAAACAGATTGACTTCTTTTAAGGATAAGGTTAGCCTATGGGATGTTAACATAAACATTTCCTATGTTTCTAATTAGTTGTTTTCAAAATTAATCTGTACAACATAAAAATCTACTTGTTTATAATTGATTTTCCTTTATAATAATAGGAGTAAAATGACTACACAGTATGGTTTCTAAAGTCCATAGTGGAAGTGATGTTTATTTACAACAAATTAATAAACATAGCAATCACATGGCATATAATTAACACATGACAGCTGCTTCTAACTTGGTACCAAGAAGGCAATGAGGAACAAGATTATAAATAAATTCCAACACCCCTCCTTAATCTTGATCCTTCATTGGGGTAAGACCAAGGTCGGTCATAAAACCATCATGCTTGATTTTGCCAAGTGATTTTGTCAAAATGTCCGCTACCATCTTGGAAGTTGGAACGTAATTCAGCACAACTAGTTTTCTTCTGACAAATAACTGTTTACGAATTATATGTTTGGTCTTGGTATTCACGGTTCTCTTCTGCAAAATCTTCATTGCTGGCATGTTGTCACAATGCAAATTTACATGCTCAAAATGTTTCTGAACCATTGCTACAAACTCTGACTCTGTTGAGGAATCAGGCATACATCTCTGTTTCTTACTTCCCCAAGACACAGGTCCTTCACTCAGTTTAAAAACATGTCCCGTACAACTTTTCCCATCGAAGTAGTTTCCATGACTGGCATCAACAAAACCATGTAGAGGTTCTTCATCAGCTTGCTCCTCCACAGCATGCTTCCACAAATTCTTATTCGGATCTTCTATTGCCTCTTGATAACTACTTGGCTCTAGATCCTCACAGGTAACCATGTAGGTAACAAAATCAGGAAACATTTTAGGTTTTCTTACTCTTAGAGGGTACCTACTCCCAACATTGATTTCAACAACTTCCTCATCATTTCCCGAATCCCCTTCAGCGGATCCTCCAGTTCCAACATCGTCACCATCTTGCTCAATGTCAATATTATCAAGAATGAAGCTCTCCTCTTCTGCCTCAGGATTCCTGCAGGGTTCATCGAGTTTGGCGGTCTGGATGCTTACTATGGTCTCGACTGGTTGTATAGTTTCATCACCATTATTTTCTTCACGCCCATTATAAAATAAGTTTTCAAAAAACTTTACATCTCTAGAATAAATCAATCTACGGGGAGACTTAGGATCGACCAATTTGTAACCTTTGACATCCTCACTGTAACCTACAAAAATGTGAGGAACACTCTTATAGTCCAATTTGGTCATTCTCTCCTTAGGCACATGCACATAGCCTATGCACCCGAAAACTCTAAGGTGACTGAGGTCCACTTTCGATCCAGTCCATTTCTCCTGTGGAGTGACTCCAAAAACAGCTTTTGTAGGACTTCGGTTCTTAAGATAAATAGCTGCCTCCACAGCATACTGCCAGTAATCCTTGCTCAAATTTGAGTCACTTAGCATGCTTCTAGCCTTTTCAATAATAGTTCTATTTGCACGCTCTGCTACCCCATTCTGCTCAGGACTATATCGAGTAGTGACCTGGTGCCTTATTCCAAATCTATTACACACTTCTTCTAGTCTCGCATTCATGTAATCCCCGCCTTCATCTGACCTAACAGTTTTTACAGTCTGGTTGGTCTGATTTTCAACTAAAGTCTTAAACTTGAGAAAACAATCAACTACTTCATCCTTTAATTCAAGAAATAACCAAAGGTCATTCTGGTGAAGTCATCATTAAATATTAGCATGAAGCGATTACCTTGAAGTGACTGAACATTCATAGGCCCACAGACATCCATATGGATTAACTCTAGTTTTGCCTCAGCTCTCTTACTTGGAGTGGTTAGGAAAGATTCTCTAGAGTGTTTCCCCTCCACACAGGGAATACATGGTTCTGGCCTTTGACTAGGAAAATCAACACCCAAAGCCATCCCCTTTTTCAAAACACCCATGCTAACATGATTCAAGTGACCCAACCTTCTGTGCCATAAATTGTGAAGGTCCACACTAACTGATTGGTTAACTTGAGTAGACATAGCTAAATTTCCATCATTTGGATCAATGTTGCATTTACTCTCTGTATCCAACCGATACAGTCCGTTTACATTTGTTCCAGTTCCACAGATTTCACCTCTTACTGAAAACCCATCTTTTATGTAAATATTACACCCTTTGTCATCAAAAACTAAAACTTGCCCTTTACTAGCTATTTTGCTCACAGATAGCAAATTTGTAGATAAATCTGGTACATACGTCACATTCGATATCACTCTCTCACCAAAGTTTTTAAGGTTCACAGAAACTTTCCCAGAACCCGCAGAGTAAATTTTGGTATTATTAGCGACAGTGACCTCTTTAACTCCCTCATTCGAGTTAAACGTTTGAAAACTTTCTTTACTTTTAGAAAGATTGTCAGAACAACACGAGTCTAAGTACCAGCTTTCAGGTTCTACCTTTACAGTCAGAGCAGTTATCCAACTCACATTTTTATTTTTGTTTTCACCATCTGACTTACCAATTTTGGAAAATTACCCTATCTTTGAGCTATTACTAATATTAGCTTCATTATTTTCAGGACAATCCCTTATCATATGGCCTGCCTTTCTACATTTGTAACAAGTAGGAATAAAAGGCTTCCTTGTCTTTGAGCTTTTATTAAAATTAGGCCTAGCTTGATTAGTATTTGATTTTGATAGAAAAGGCTTCCCAGTACTGCTTTTAAAAGTTGAAAATACTACAGAGGACTCAGTGGTATCCTTTTCAGCCATGCTATTTAATTTTTCTAGTACTTTACTATATTCTACTTTATCTGTACTCTCGACTGCCATCCTAAATGCCCTGTAAGACTCAGGCAAACCTCTTAGAAGTAGACACGCCTTCATTTCATCGTCTACGGGTTTCTCTATGTCAGCAAGTTGAGCATTGAGGTCAAGAAATTTAGAAATATACTCAATCATGCTGTTGCATACTTCCAACTTCAAATCTAAAAGCTGGTCTAGCAGAAATATTCTCCTGTTTGTGCTCTTGACTTCATACTGCTTTGCTAAAATGTCCCAAGCTTCCTTCGCTGATGTGGCCGTCCTGATATGTAGTTTTGGAGCTGCCTCCAGGTGCATGGCAATCTTGGCGAGTGCCCTCTCATCTTTGTCTGGATCCACAGTTAGCGGTGTCGTCTCTGTAGTAGTCCTTCGTGGTTCAATGCAATTCCACAATCCCTCATATTTTAGAGCCATCTTCATGTCAAATTTCCAACTGGCATAGTTGGCTGACCCTTTCAACTTAGAAATTCCAGGGGCTGATGTGGAGTATATAACTTTGTCTCCCATCATAGTAATTAATAAGTGTTCATCCAATGAAATTTACTATAATATTTCTTAAACACTTCTCTTCAAAAATTAAACTGTTCAAAATAGGCCACAGAGAACATGTTACAGTAAAAGTGAAACTGGGCCCATAACCACTTGTTTATAATTGATTTTCCTTTATAATAATAGGAGTAAAATGACTACACAGTATGGTTTCTAAAGTCCATAGTGGAAGTGATGTTTATTTACAACAAATTAATAAACATAGCAATCACATGGCATATAATTAACACATGACAGCTGCTTCTAACTTAGTACCAAGAAGGCAATGAGGAACAAGATTATAAATAAATTCCAACAAATCTTTCATTTAGGCCTAATTGAACATCACTATCCATTGTTGTGCTCCCTAAAACTAATCCCGTCAAGAAATAAAACACATAGAAGTTTATTATTTGTTTCTTTATACAGCAAACGAGTAAACCTTAACCGACCTCGCATTTTAAACCGTCGTTGCTTTGAGTGCAGTTCGGTTTAACCGCCGCTTTCTAGGCATCTCAACGTTTCCGCTCCCACGCTCGGCGATGGGACCCATCGATACGCTTATCTCCACAAGATGTGACAAGTGATTTTGTATCCATCCCAAAAAAATTATGTTTCTGAAAACAGCTGCTATATTATTTTTGTAATACAATCTAGAATTGTCTTATCGCTAGAGTAAACAAACAACACAACTTGTAGGGAGGGCAGGATAAGGGTTTAACGACTCCCAAGGTCAAGATAGTTTTTGTGACTCGAGCCTCCAGTGAGAGGCTATAAATAGACATCCTGTCTCATAACAACAGTTGTTTTGCTTGTATCTTTAATTTCGATTAAGAGTTCTGTAGATAGGGTACTGTATTAGGATAGATTTAATATTAGAGTACTAAAGTTATTAAATAACTGCTTGATTTTTAGGTAAAGTCATTAAAATATGAATGATTGGTTACCCTTGTCACAGAAAACATACTACTATAACCCAGAATGCCAACCGCATGGTAAAAAGCATTAAGTGTTTTGAGAGAGCTTTGCCTGTCAATTTGTAGGCAGCGTTGCCATGCACTCAACACTTTATTTTACTTTATAAAGCATTTTTCATTTTTCCTGTAACAATTACGATCCATTTTAGCCACATGTTAGCTATTGTTAAGTAAAAACAACAAAATGTTCCGTAATCCTAACTATTCAACAGTCCGAACTACCCCTGGCCCCAATTAGTTTAGATTTATGAGGTTCTGGTGTAATTTACTCCACTGAAAGTATTTGACTTAACCGTGTTGTGTGTTTATTAGTAACTTTTCTATCAATACAAAAAAAGGACTTAAGTGTAGTTTATTTTATAAATAATACAAGTACAACTTCA